TACTGGAGGGCAATGCAAGCTCAGTCACTATTACTAATTGCTTGGGAAAACTCAGGAAGTTACTGGACTGTCCTGGAACTGGCGCGCACTCACAGGTGCCATTTCATCTGTCCACTCCCCATGACCAGGTTGGAATCGCTTCACTGTTTCCATATCATCTATCACCCGGACAACATCACCAACCCAAAAGGTGTTGAGCTACAAGAAAAAGAAAGTCATAAGCTTTTGGGGGATGAAGCCAGAAAAAAAAAAAAAAATAGCGATCAACCCCTCCATCCCACCCCCACCCTCTGAAAACCCAACCAAACAAGTCCATTGACTCAAAAACCCAGGCATTCCAAAACATAAGTACGACTACCAAGAAATCTGTAATGACTGCACTGCAAAAGAAACATAGTCCAAGGGCTGGGGTAATTCTGTTTTAAGCCAAGTGCACATTTAAGTAGTGAAATAATCTGCGACAGAACATTTTTCTTTTCTTTCTTTCTTCTTTAAACCATTTATAATTAATACCAGTATAAAGCACATATGGAACTTTCCTTGGTCCATCTCACTATACCTGACTTGGCACTGGAGATTGTAATTCACTTTAATAAGGAAGTAAAATCTGTTTGTATTTAAAACAGAAAAGGGAAAACAGAATTTATCTGTACTGGTAATTTGCCAGGTGCTCCCCTCTGCTCACTGAGCTGAGAAGGGAGCACTGTCAAAACACACTTTTCAAAGCAGACTAATTCTGTGCAAAACAGTCTGACACTGCATTTTTCATTCGTATTGGAGTTTTTAGCATTGTGACCTTGTTCAGGTCTTTCAGAATTGTGTAGTCTTTCAGCAGCTCCTTCTATACCTATTAGCCCTGTTTCTAATCATCCACACTTCAAGTCATCAAACCTCTGGGGAAGGCCAGAGCTATGAGCTTTAGAAATGCAGACACAAAATTAGAAGAGACAGATTAAAGACTCAGGTCATCCAGAAGAATCAGAGAAAGATGAGACAAAGAAAGATGCAAAAAGTAGAATAGCATGAAGACACACGAATAAGGAAGAAAGCAAAATCAAATGGAAATTATGTGGAAGAAGGTTCATCACAGATGAAAGGCAGCTGCAGAAGGATGAGCTACTGTAGGTCTACTGTTACCACTCTTATCAAAGAAGCTGAAATTAAGAAATGGAATTTACCTTAAGAACTTACAACATTTGAAATGCAAATGTTCATAAAACTGCACAGCCTAGTAGCCCAACTCCCACTGTCTGCAACTGTCTGTGTTAGTTCTGATGGCTTGCAGGAAATTCTGCCTAGAACTACTGCTTTTAGAATAGCAGTATATTTCTTCAGCACTTGCTTGAGACACATTGTGTCCTAACAGCAGGTTAAATTGACAGCCGTTCCCTGCAACGTTTCTAGTTCTGGCCAAGCTCACCTATCAGCACCTACCTTAGTCAGAGCTCCAGGATGGAAAGTCCAGCGGGTTTCACTGTTGAACTGGACCCTCACGTCCCCTCTGTCCGTGATTCTGTGCACAGTCCCTGTCTGGCCAATGAACTTTTGATAGGGGGAAAAAAAAAGTAGGGGAAACCCCCTAAATAAATCACATTGCTTAATAGTCTGGAAAGCAGGCATCCATGGCATAGACGGCTAAATTATGCACCTTTTCCAATTCATAGACTAACAGTGCTCCCAAACCTGCTTTAAATGAGATGCAATCATTGTTTTTCTGCAAAAGGAGGGGAAGGCTGCTTAAGAGGCTCCTCTAAAGTAGCAGCATATTGGGGGAGGAGGGTCATAGGAATAGTGAGTCTGAAAATCCTTGAAAATGCAGCACAAATTGTCCTCCTCTTTCCAAATTACAAAGGTGGGCAGAGATTACAACATTGTTCTGCAGTATAATACCAGCAAGGCATGCTCTGAGAGAAGGAAAAAAAAAAAAAAAAAAAAAAAAAGGGGGCGGCGGGGGCGGGAAAAAAAAAAAAAAAAAAAAAAAAAAAAAAAAAAAAGGGGGCACGGTAGAGGAGACTACACAAAACAAAGTATAGTTGAGTAGTGCAGTATTCTGATCTGTTGATTCTGGCAGGTCCTGAGCAGCTGATAGTTTTGAAGGAGACAAAAAGTACCAATTTCTGAGATGAGAGGAAGTTACTGTTTCTCTAATATCCCTCTCTACACCTGCATTCACCAACAACAGGAACTCAGAAGTGCAGAGGTTTAACAACCTAGCAGACTATGTTAGCTACACAGCAACATTCAAAAACTATAGCTTTGGGGATGAAGGCCTTAGCTGGAATAAAAAATTCATGGCTTCGCTGACAGCATTCTTAAAGTTCATGCCAGAAGACCGTAAGTCCCCCCTGCCAGGCTAAAAAGAGACCGATGCCCAGTTAATAGATTTCCACACTGAAACTGGGTTGGCATAGTTGTCTTGACATTTTAAAGCCTGATTTCAAAAAGACCACTCACCGACAGGACAGGTTGGGCTAGGATACATATATAACATATCTTTATAATTTTATAGCAGTGCTTCATATACCAAGGCTTCAGACAGCTGTCATAGAATCAGACCTGCAGGTTATTCAGTTTACTGACTCGAGCAGCAGGCATCTGCGTCACTTGTGGCTATACACTTCCCTCCCTCTCCAAAAAGCCACTTTTATACAAGTTACTAACACAGACTCAGAGGCAGGTCTTATTACTGTAATGGTGAGTATCAAAATGTGATTCTGTCTTGCAGTAAATCTACTGCACAATAGCAGTACTGCCTTCTTCAATATGTGAAGGTAATTTAATCTATTTTGGGCAATATCTGTAGACTATTAAAAGCCAAAAAAGTTGACCTGGAGGTCAACTAAGGAGACTAAGGAGAAACAAAAAGCACAGACCTTTTAATTTAAATGGCAAATTTCTTCATTTCACTGTTATCATTTCATCTGAATGTAAGCCCACACTGAATGTTCACAACCCCCCAGAGACTCACTTCCATGATGGCCCCCTGAGATGCCATACTGCATTAACAGGTGTCATTTCTATCTTTACTTCCTCTACTATCTGAGGGTTTTTTTAGACAACAGACTGATAGCTCTTCAAACTAAAGACAAGAACAACAGGCTGAGCTGCAAGAACATCATATGGGCCGAGAAATTTTAGCCCTGGCCAGGGATAGAGCCCACTGTTGACAAAACACATAACTTTCATTTGTAGTAATGCACAATACAAAAGAAGCCAAACGGGGAATGGATCCAGAACCCCAAGGAAAAGATCCATGGTTCATTTAAAAACAAACAAACCAGCCATTAGTTTTTTGCACTGGCTTCCAAGACTTTTGAGCAACTCTTTTGACCCATCGTAGGCTCTCAGAAATTATGCAGGGCTCTACAAGGCAATTCTCATACAACACAGATTTATCTGAGCCTAAAAATAAATCTGACTCCAGTGTCCTATCATTAAAGAATATGTATTTGTGATTCAGTCGACACAATATAAATATAGAAGATAACACCTTAAACAAAGATGTTCTGGTAACTTCTTACCCAGTGCCTACTTATATAGTCTGAGATAGTGACTGATACATTACTAAGAGAATAGGAGCAAGCAGAGCATACCTCAGCCATTTTAGGATTCCAGCCCCCATGGCCCTCCTGCATTTCCCGCAAGATGTCAATGTCCAGCAGGCATTTAACCTTGTCCCCATGCTGGAATGGATGCCTGTCCGTGCTTTCTTTCCTCTGCAGTTCAGCTGGTTTTCCTAAAGAGAAGAATGACACCACCCACATACATGCAAGATGCAATAATAGCCTTTGTGTCGCATTTGGCTTTGTAACAAGGGTTGCAAATTAACATAGGCTTAATTGGGGCAGAACAGTGTAAAACCCTTTTTCTAGTGGCATACGCCCTGCACACACTATGGGGCAGCACTATGTAGAGACATCAAGGGGATTTAGCTCTAACTGGATACTGATATGAGTTAAACATGAGGTAGTTCTAACAAGTCACAATTTCGTCCCTTCCCAGAGAGGGGAGAAGTGCCTTTGAACGATGCCTCTCATGTCATGTCAGACATCAGTAGCTGTTCTTAGCAATTCAGTCACCCACAACTGTTGTTCAGCAGACACACCCACACAGTACTCAAGCTCTCTTCCATAGGCAGCCACATAACTTGCTTTGTGGAGTGCTATACCCTCCCAGAGTTCCTGTGTAGTGAGAGGCTGTACCTCTGGAAATAAGCTCCCCATCCAACCCTTCCCTTCCCTCACGCTCTTGCCAAGCCGCTCAGGGAGACAAAAGAATGAGAAAGACCTGATTCTGCTGCTGCTGCAAACTCAAGAACAGACCTCTCTGTTTTCCTTCAGGGGAGCAAAAGATGGCCCCTACACCTCATTAAAAAAATACAACTAAATTACACCTTAGTAAAAAATGCTGCAAGTCCAAAACCACAAGTAGTTTCCTTGGTTTCATCAAAGTTCAGAGGAAAGGTGGACTGCAGCAAGTTGCCAATATAGACATCACCTTTTCCCATGACTTTTTCTAATCTCCCTGCCGGGCAAGTATTTGGTAGCTCCATTCTCAGAAATGTCCCTTTTGTCACATTCCCCTTCAACACACTTTTGGGTTGACCAGAACAATAATATTTGCTCTCTAAAAGCACAGTGAACACCAGTTGAACCACTGCTTGCCTGAAGAATGAAAAACTTTGGATTAACAAAACTGACACTGGGTTGAATTCTCTGCTGACAGATGCAGGCACTCCCAAGGCAGTTTCATGCATTTGCAGCAGCAAGAAGTTGCCTTGGCAGAAGATCCCTCCTTGGGATACAGATATGGGCATCTGATGGTCTTACACAATCTTACCACTGAAAGGCCAAACTACTTTACTAGCCACTCTGAAATAAAGCGGTAAGTTCACACAATGACCACTTTTTTTAAAATGGTACATATTATGTGGGAACTTTATAAAACCACCTGCTGATTTTCTGTCTTCCAAGCAAAATGGCTTCAGTGTCAGGAAATGGCAGCACGAGTCAGGATTTCCCAGCAGAAGAGGTCTCTACGCACCTAATTTTGGGAGATGCTCTTTGTAGTAAAAGCCACCAGATGCCTCCACAGTACATTTCAGGTCCACTTTTCCCTTGTGACCAACTCTGTAGACATTTGTGGTACCATCAGACCACGTGACGCTGGCCACACTGCGTCCGGTCTCTACATCCCAGCCACGAATATCAACCACACGTCCAGTTTTACCTTCACCACCTGATGGAAAAAGAGGGGAAAAAAGTGTCCGGCTTGCGTTTTCACTGAGACCAACATACAGAAACTCACCTCACACTGGGATGTTTACCGAGATACAATTTAATGACATTTTTATCTTAACTAAGTAAAAAAACAAGGAATAAACTTGTCAGTTCTCCAACTATTCACCACAGAGGAGTAGGCACAGAGCTAAAAGACAGTAGTTGGGGCAGATGAAATTCTGACAGAGAAGTCACCACCAGGAAGGATTTCCGTGGGGCCTTATCATAGGCCAGCTTTACATGTTGAACAGAAGCACACAGGTCTCCTTCACTGCCAACATAGTTCTGCCTAAAGCAGTGCCCTCCAGTCAAGTGTTCTTCATATACATGAAAGAAGGAAATCACACACACAAAAAAATTATTTGGCAGCTCATACAACTTCCTCACAGCTTGTATGATTCATCTTGATCTGCAGAAGGCACAAGAGATCTCAGTCACCTTTTTAATTAGGGAAATTAAACCACGAGACAACTCAGTTTGACCAACTAGGAGAGAACCTTTGCATGAAACACACTGGAAGCCAGCCAGCCATTTATTTTGGAATACAGATACGGAAAAGCTGAATTGTGTGTAGAAGCATCCATTCCTCCTGGTGTACAGAAACACTGCCTAGCTAGGCAACACACGGCGTCACGGCACCACACTGTGGCAAGATGAAAACACAGCAGCGCTGTAAAATCTACCCAAGATCTTTAATCTCTCCCCAGAACATCAAGTAAAGTTTGTTCTGGTACTTCTCTTCACCTGCCCAAGCAAGGAGGAGTACTACTGAAACAAACCAGAACAGGAGGGTATACTTGTGAGAAGGTAAATCTGGCTGGGCAGATGGGACATACTTTCATCTAAGAGACAACAGTCTATCAACACCGAACCTAGTGACAGGCAGTCAGAATTTGCAGATTCCCTGCCTCACTCTGCTGCCAAGTGTGAACCTCGGCAAGTCCCAGCACTGGTCTAGCGCTTTCCCAAACGGGGACAGCAACATCTGTCTGTCTCACCAGGTGGACAGTGAGCTTCTAATTGCCTGCAAAATCTTGGAATTTAACAGCTGAAAGGAGTTAATGTCCTCATCTAACTGCATATCTATCTAAAAAGCATAATACAGATAAGCCAGTGGGCTTTATTGTCAGTTCTATCAAGAACACACCTTTAGAGGGCTGGTCTGAGAATCAGAAAGTCCCAGTATCTCTTGATTTTTACTGGAAGAAAAATATTTTTCTCTCCCTAGAAATGGCAGGTGGATCCCAATTCTGTACACAATTCACACTGCAGCCAGTTACCAGACCAGCACTCCAGATATCCACTCACATGAATGTTATCCATGAAAATACAATTTAAGTTACCAAAAGCATTTCTGTGATGTAACCTGCACAGCTATGCCTAAAAAAGCGTCCCAGGTTAGAACCCAGACCCTAGCAATAGGGCAGCTAACAGTAATTTTCATCTTCCTTTCTGCAGATAACCATAAACAACTGTCCAGTCTGAAATGAATCCGGATGACAGCTCTTAGAAAAGGCGGTTACATCCAATATGCAGTTACTGACCATGGGAAGGGAAAGGAGAGCCTCTGCATGGTCCCAATGTTCAAGTATGGGAAAACAGTGATCTTGCAGCAACACTGTGGTCCTTTGGCTGTATTATTAACGTGGACAGGTTGTAGCAGATCGCTGTCCTTTCCCTGTTCTTTCAGTCTGTAAGAAACCTGGTAGGTATCACTGGCCTCGAATTAGTGCCGACAGAAACTTAGCACCAGCAACAAAAGAACTTAATGTTTGTCTGTTGCAGCAGGGATTCACATTGAACAACAAAAAGTAATCTCCCCCCTCAGCCTGTTCAGATGCTTTTCTCTGAGGAGGGCACTAGCTTCCACTTCCATGGCGTTTGGACTCTAAGACATGGTAGTGAGGAAAAATATGCATTCAATGAAAAGATTGAAGTGACTGAGGAGCTGCCAGGGTCCACCCTGACCACAGCAGAGAAAAAAGTTTGGTCAATTGGCAAATTTTGCAGTCAATGCTAATTTCTGCAAAGGGCTCAGGTGGCAGGAATACTAAGAAGACACAGGCAAATAAAAGCAAGATCATTTGATCAGATTTCTCAACTAGCTGCTATTGCCCTTATTGCTATTGCCCACGCTGGACCACACAATCAATACATAAACTTAGCAGGACCCTGTTATAGAGTTTGCAATGTTATTTATTAGCACTACTTATATGTCACCTCCTTAAATGGAAACAGAGTTGATGTGTTAGTGCTAGCAGGAAGCTAAGTTCAGAAGAGCAAAAGGCTGTGGATGGCAAAAGGCGGTCCTCATTAAAGATCAGCTGAGTGTCTGCCCTTATGTTTCTTCTCACTTGTCTTGCACATATAACTGCCTTCAGGTCACAATCATCGTGTGACACAATGCAAGTCTCAGACATGTAAATGTTGATCTGATCTCAAAAGTATGGATAAGCTGTACTGAGCATAAGCTGCTTTTGCTCTCAGACCTTGCAAGTATCCATGTCCTCCACTGAACCCAGAGCCACAATAAATGGTGGATTCAACATTGGAAACCTTTAGACTTACAACTTAATTATTAAGGGAAAAAAGAAGCTGTAAACATTACAGTGTGTACAAGGGCTCTGGAATACAAACAGACAGTAAAGTTGCCTTAACTCTGTAGCACTACACAGAAATTGGTATCAGTGAATCAGACACAGTCATTATACCCCAAGAGCAGCTCTAGAAAAGGCATTTTTGTCTCTTTGCATTTTCAGCCTGAAGTTACAGTTCATACAGAAAGCAGAAACCATTCTCCAGCAACCACAGCAAACAGTTCTTCATTAATGCTCCATGTGAAACACTCCTTACAGATCATTTCTCTTCACTGTTCTTAAAAGCATCCAAATAATGATATTCCAAAGAACTCCAAAGGAAAAAGGAGTACTGTACACAAAGTCAGACAAACCTTATTCCCACTGTGAATGGATGCTTTTTCAGGAGAAGATAGGTCTCTACTTTCTTGTAACATGGTATACATTTATAGTTCTATACAAGATCTTTCAGGATGGTTCCCATGAGTTTTTCACATCTATGAAATAGGAGCAGCAAACCTTCCCTCCCACACCCTGAATGAATGCATACAGTTTATGTCACAGATATGTTTTTAAACAAATACAAGAAAACAAATAATATTTCATACTCTAAAGAACAGCAACCTGCAATATCTGAACAGCTCCCCTAGAAGCTACTACTCAGCACATGCCTTTTCAATTAGCAATTTGGTAAAAAGAAAAGAAAAAAAAAAGAAAGAGAAAATGGAATAGTGTTTTACAGGACATCTCAAAAGAAGCTTACCATCCTGGTTACCCCACTCCCAGTCGGGGCCACGGACTACTTTAGCCCCCTGGAAAGTCCCTTTTAATGTGATGCGAGTCAAATTCTGGCGAGGACTCACTAGGACTCTGGAAAAACAAAATAAGAGATAACAAATTAATTTATCGTTACTATTCACACTTTATAAAGCTCTGTTCCAACCGAGGTCTGTCAAATGAGGACCAAGTGTACCACACTTACACAGAAAAACATGGCTTGAGTTCTGAAGGGCATGTAAGAAGTGAGAGAAAACAATAAAATAGCTGATCGGGGTCTTTGATCCTAAAAGCTGGGCTCCCCAGGAAGGTCAGAATACTCATGCACTGTTCCACTGACGGCAGAAAGACAACTAGTGAATAATGCACTGGGCGAAAGAAGACCCAGGTTTATCTTCAAACATTAGCAAAAATTGTGAGATCTATGGTGAGCTGTAAAAAAGTTCTGTGTTTCTCTCAACTGTGGGATGCAGACAATTGGGAATAGAGGCTGCTAAGCAAGCATGAGGAACAGGCACACTTCAGTGACTGCCTGTGGAGACAAACACGTATCTACACACAAGCAGCAGGACTGGTGGGGTCTCTCTCTCATGTTGTTAGGTACCAGAATGGCATCTTGCTGACTCAGGAAGTTGAACATACCTAAACACAAAGATTCGAAATGATTACATTCACTCACTTGCACACAGCATGCTTAGCCATGAAGGAAAAGAAATCATCCTTCTTTCAGAACTTCAAGAGCCTTTGCTGTGCAGAGCAAAAATAAAATCTAGCAGCTCCAAAGAAGAAAAAATTCCCCACACACTCTCTGAGAAGCGCAATCCACAAATTCTATTAGGGCAAGGCAGCTCACTAAGGGCCAAGTACGATTACTGTGAATACATGCAAAGTAATATTTTTGTGAACTATTTACCAGCATTCTACAGCATAAGGTTCAACATCTGCAAACTAAAGTAATCAAAATCTGCATTTAGCAACTTCAGCCCATTGCCTACACAGAGCAGGGGAAGCCCTGCTACAAATATCATCAAGCAATCCTAAACATCACAGCAGGAGGGCATGTGAGTTTTCATTGCCATCTGTGCCAGTTATAATCCACACATGCTTCCCAAAGGAGAACACCCAAGTCAATTAATATAAGTCTCATACAATCAAAACATATCTTTAAAACAGAGCCTCTGAGAGGAGGGGGGGGGGAAAAAAAAAAAAGAGAGGAGTAAGGAGGAAGTTAGTAACTTCTCCAGAAAGTCTGACATCTCTTCAAAGGGAGAGTGAAGCTGACTTTCAGCTGCCCTTGTATCCCATCGCTAAGGTTAAGGCAATGCTTATGGGCATTACCAGGGTATATGCTGCATGAAAGCAGTAACAGCTCAGGCAGTCTCTTAGCTCCAAGTCATAAGGAGTTCAGCACACTTCGTAACGTAAGCTGCAGACCGCACCACCTAGTTCACTTGCTGAAAAGCAGAGCAGATTAGATCAGCAGTGTTGTGGACAGACTGTTTGCAGGATAACACAGATCTTTCTATCTGCCCTGCAATCCGCATCACAGGCATACACACTGATCCATCTTAAGAAAAAAGAAAAAAAAAATACCTACGTGATAGTAAATAGGGGATCTGATGTCCTGTTAAAGCAGCTTCCAATTCCCATAATGTTACAGCAGCTTCTCTGCTGTTTTTGTGCGTGCTGTTCCTAGTCTCTGTTCCCTAGCAGAAAGCTTTCTCATGAGATACCAAGCCACCAAAGTCCTTATGGACCTGTTTGTGTTGCTCACCCAGGGTACAATCCACTTTTCTAGGTGACTACAAAGGTGCCACAATCCATAGCCGTAACTGCTCACCTCCTCCTGACAGGCTCTATGGCAACTCCCAGACCAGACAGAGCAAAACCAAGCTCAGCAGCTGTTCCGCAGGGGAAGGGGAGAGGAAGCCTACCAGGGGTAGGGCTGACCTCAGAATGCTGTATTTATTTTCCATCTAATACCTAGAGAGAGAAGGTGGAGACTCAGAAGGATAAAAAGCTTACGCTTGAACTTACTGTTTACTTATCCATCAGAAGCCTAAGTCTTTTACCTTTCTTAACTTGTTAACAGATCTCCCACCTGTGCTTTGCAACCTAATGTGTTTAAAAAGAGGGAGAGATCATTTACACATGTTCTTATCATTGTTGAATGTTCATTATTCAGATTGTAGCTCAACAGGAGGAAGATGAAGACCATTTTTGGAATGATTGAGATTTTGGCCGTTTCAAACACCATCAAGGCTGGCAGTTGTTATGAAAGAAAAGATAATGAAAGATGGCTAGGAAAAAGCTCAGCTAAAAAGAAACACTGATCAGCATTCATTTTATTGCACTGTGTCATGCACTATAGACTGGCTTCAAAAACCAGCATGGATTTGTGTACTACATCTGAAACAGCTTAGTTACAACATGCTGTTTTCACTGTATTTTGCTGAATGCTTTTCTAACAATTTATCAAAGATGTCTTAGTCAAGCCCTGAGACAAAGTGATAAAAATATACTTCTCTCCTCCAAACTCTGCTCTCACAAGGGAGTGGTTTCAATGCAAAGATTCTCAGTGATAGTAAAAGTAAAGCACGATGCTAAGCTTAAGCAAGATGTTTAAACAGCAAAATAACCACCACTCGTTATATTCCTAGCATAATTTCCCTTTTTGTATAATCATATAACAGCAGCCATTTCCCATCTCAACAGCTCTCACGTTAACCTGTCACTTTCAGTGCCATTAGTGGCTAGAGACCAGGAAAACAAAGCTGACCAGTTCAGAACGCTGAGCTTCCTTAAAGAAGAAAGAAGGGTAAGAAACTCCATCTCCTATTCTACTTAAATGCTGGACACAACCCACCATAACTGCCTTCTTTCCCTGGCCTCACAAAAATTTTGACCTTGTCTTGAACCACACTGCTGACCAGCAACACTGAAGAATGATGCGAGAACCAGATGTCCTGAGCCAGTACATCTTAGGTTTTAATCTAATTCAACATGTTTTGCTCCAAATACTGGATAACAACCCAAGTTATTAGCGTGTTGCAAAAACACCCTAGGGATAAATTTAATCACTGCGATATTGCCTTTAATAACAACTTTAATTACGGCAGCCAAAGTCTGCAGCCATTTCTGCCCTACAAATTCCAATGATATTAAATTACTGTAGAGTCCAGAAAACACTTGGGAGCGTGTACTGTACAGGACGACGCTGTGTCTCTCTTCAGCATGCCTGGAGCCACCCCCCTGTGGATATTCTGCCTGTGCTCAAATTTCCCCAAGGTGCTTACATAGCCTTTCACATCACGGAGAGCTATGCTCCAGACAGCTAGAAAAATTGCATCATCCATGCTTTACAGATAGAGATTTGAGACCCAAAACAACTGACTTGGAGATGTTTAAATAGAGACTGCTTTTAATTTGCAGTAGCGATCCGAGGCCCTGCGGAACTCAGAACTCCTTCATACCCGGCACAGCTGACATATTTTGCAAGACAGAGACTTCTCCACTGCAGAAGATTCTTACTCGAAGAAACAAACACAATGCACGGGACTGGAAAGTAGAAGGGATGGTCACCCTGCAAGGTAGCAGGCCATAAATGTTGTGTTAATCTCTTCAGAAAGGCATGGCTGTAAACTAGAATCTCAGGTCATGGTGGGTACAAACCCACACTCCTAGGATGTAGAAAGATCTACACAGGCTACCTCAAGAAAAGCCAACACAAAGATCTTACAGAAACTACAGGTAAAACCGACCTCAACGATGCAAGAAATTCTAGATTCTCTAATCCTCCCTAGCAAAGCTTTTACTGAAGCACTTCCAGCAAAGGATAAAGGAAGGAAATTCTGACAGATGGCAGGCGGATGCTGACTGCTCAAGCATGAACCAGACTAAGACAAGGACGCTAGTAAGTGAGGGATCAGGATCACAGAAACCTATTTCAGGAACTGTCTTTACCAAGAATTTCCATTGTCAATCCTATCCTTCTTTGCCAAGGCACAGTTCTTCACAAAACCGGCTGCATGTTTATAACTCAGACCGCAAGGTCTGAGTCGGGCTAAATGTTTGCTGTCTTTTTTTGCTAACCTCCGCAGCTAACATATCAGACTCAGTTTTGGAAAGCCACAGCGGGCAAGATTTCAGACCAACGCTATCAAATGTGAACTAAAATGTGTGTGTGCACCTAAGACTTGACACTGTACTGCAGACAGAAGGTTTTCTCAACTGTGCTCTCAGAGACGTCTATACGCAGCCTTTAATGGCAGAATACTGTAGTGACAATGATACAGAAGCACTGGTGAGCATACAAAGTGAAATGTCTTGTTATCATCCTTTAATCATGACTATTAGTTCAAAACACAAGCTAAGGATGTTTTAGTGACGATTTTTCTTGCTTACCGTTTTGATCATGTAATTCCACAAAAGCTAAAGATAAAATACATCACTGAAATATAATCTCTATTCCACAAATCAAACAGAATATTCCAAACTAAATAAGGGAAGCCCCAGTGTGGGGATAGGCCCTGGCATTCTGCAATGTAAATATTTTTTAAGGAGGTACAGTTAGGTAGCTTACCTGGTAAATCATGAGGTTTTTTAAAAGTAAAATTACACTCAGTCATTAACAGAATAAATTAATAAATAAATTCATATTAATAAAATCATTAATACTTAATGAGCATTTTAAAAAGTTAGGAAACAAGCATCATCACACAAGACTCAGATTTGATTCAAAATGTTACTCACCAAAATTTCTTAAGTCTAGCAGCTTAAACTGACGTTGCATAAATAGCACATGTTGAAGAGGTTACTACAGTAAATAAACCTGTATCCCCTTTATTGCCTAATAATCAAACACCCAGCAGTTGTCACTCAGCTGCTATATTAGTTCAAGCTTACAGTATAAGCAGTCACAGACAGAAGGCTGGATTATTAAAGCCGCCTTGAATGGGTCTGCATTGCACATGCATACCTAAATGATAACATGCACTTGTTCTTGTAATCTATCTGGTTTAGAAATCCAACTGGTAGCTAGACCAGACAGAGCTGGTTTAAGAACTATGGCTGAAAATAACTGCAAAGTCTGT